TATACACACTTACACACATCATACTCACTCACTCCCTAATGAGCCAAATGATATCACACACCCACAGCAATACACACGCTTACACATATCATACTCACTCACTCCCTAATGAGCCAAATGATAACACACACCCACAGCAATACACACGCTTACACATATCATACTCACTCACTCCCTAAGAACCAAATAACACACACAAAAACTTAATAGAGACACATCCCCTCTCCAGGACCAATAAAACTGTCAAACTGACCAGGGGAATTCAGAGAAGCATATATCCATCTAGCTCTTATCTCAAATAACAACTTAAAAGAGACTGTTTGACCAATACAAGGAATGTTAAAAGATTCATGTTAAAAAGATAAAAAAAATAAAACAAAACAAATGAAAACTACAGACAAAAGTTCATTTTCTCCATCAAGACATTCATTTCTGTAGTTTACTATTACCAGCAAGCAGAAATATTTCTTCTCCTGATTATGGCCATTTTGGCCGAAACTAGTCGAGGAATCTAAATGAAATAATAATAAAAAAAAACGAAAGAATATTAATCTACAACCCAGTGTGTCTGAAGATTTTTAATATTTTTTTTATTGTTCAAATATATATATATATATATATATATATATATATATATATATATTGCTTCAAACGTTATTTTTAGCGGATACTCGTTTTTGAAATAGACATCCCGTTTTGTTTTTTTATAACTCTGTGTTACGTCTATCGGCCTCTACACACGAAAAACAAATATAGTCTGCTGCTGTAGAATATTTAATATTTCAATTCATGAGTATTAATTCAAGAAAAGATATTTTATTCTTGATTTTGAATAAAAGCAAGACAGAATGAATTTAAGGATTAACAACTTGCAAAAAACAGTTTCCAACTGATTTTAACTTTTTATTACAGTGTATGAAACTATAGAACAAACAGAAAAAAGCCATAGATAGAATTTAAGTCACAACATTGACTTTTTGCTTTGCATTAAGTAAAAAGAAAATTATTTGTAAACTAGTCATAATAACCGTAATAGCAATTCTAACAGCAACACTAAAAAGTGACATCAACAAATTTGTTGGACATGAATATTTTATAGAAATAAAAGGAATTTTTGGTGTATTACTATTTGAGATCTACAAAAGAATGTGATGAGTGAATAACATAGCGATTAGGTGTTAAATTTTCCCTAATGGAAAATTCCATTAATGAGAGAAAAACGCCTCTGACTATCTATCGCCTGATTTTCCTCGAAACATATTTTATGCTGTTTCTCTTTCAATTTGGCCCGCCTGATTCTTATAAACATGGCGATATTTTGCACTGTTTTATTTTTGGTTTTGTTTTGTTTCTTTGTTTTTTCTCTTTCTATTTATTTCCAAGCCAGCGTCGTAAGAGTTTAATTTTTATATATACAGGGGTCGAGTAGAAGGAATAAGACACGTAACCAAAAGGTCAATATGTTTCATTTTGACTAAGAATTTTGACATATTCGACAATGCTACTTCAGAATTAATACCTGTCATTATTCAGGACTTAGAAAAAAAATAAAGCAAATTTTTTTTTTTTTTTTTTTTTTTTAAAGAGATGGCCCATTTCTTTTGCTCAACTCTGTATAAATGTCGTGAACTCTAACCTTGGTTTATTAGAACGGAACATCATAAGATTTGATTGGGAATTTCGACTTAATGTCATGGTTAGAAAGCTTGTCTTGCTAGAACAATTACGACTGAGTAGTGAGTTCTATCCTCACTAGGTGTCACATACTTTTGACTTTGTGGCACATCTAAGCTACGCTTAGTAAATCAGTAGATGATTTCATTGGTTATTTTGACGTGGTGTAATATTTTGCAAATCTCGCTAGATCAATTACATCTGACTAGTGAGTTTGTCGCATCCACCAACATGACTATTGGTGAATTAGTTCCCCTGCTTAAAAAACTGATTAAAATGTATCCTTTTCTTCCTAATGTATTATCGGGTTACCCGCTCCTGATTTTCGAAACCGTAACTAGTGGACGCTCTCACAGTGCACTATAAATACACTGTGATAATTTTTATCTTCTTACTTTTCCGCTTATACGACATGTAAATTTCTCGCGGAAGGTCGCGTTCCCTTTTTGGGAAACGCACAAAAATAAATACACACACACATATGCACGCATATTCACTCACTTCAAATAATTTGGAAGAAAAAGTTTCCACATTCATTTGTTACGCACATTATTGTCTTTGTCACCTTTTGTTGTTAATACATTATCATTTGTTTGTACATATATAAATAGATATATTAAGACATTTTTATGTTTATACATTCTTTTTATAGATACAAATATTTAAGTAAATGCTCTGCTTTATAATAAACAGTATTAACAACATTTACCGGCCTAAATGTCCAAGAAATTTTCACAGAAGGTAGTCGTTCTCCGAGAGGATTCGAACCTGTATCCTATACGGAACCGTCATTTAGCTTGACGTGCCTTTAACCGATTTGGCCACAAAGGAGCGTTCGGTTAGCAATGTCAAATTTACTGTATTTGAACTTCACTCTTCTATGAATCTCTCACGTAGATTCATATCTGCTCATGGCGTATCAAATGTAAACAAATGACGTCACACATTATGAAGTGGACACATTGCAACAATTATTTTAAGACATTTTTATGTTTATACATTCTTTTTATAGATACAAATATTTAAGTAAATGTAAAGTATTAAATAATATTTACCGGAGGACGAATATTTTCTGTGAAAATTTCTCGGACATTCAGGCCGGTAAACGTTATTATTAATGGATATTCGCATTTGAGTAGACGTCTCATTTATATATTAAACAGTGTATATACTTTTCTTAATAAGATTTCTCGAACAGCCAGGTCGGTAAATGAAAAAAAGTAAATATGCTGTTTAACATATAAGCGGGGCATCTACTCAAATACGAGTATCTACTATAATAACGTTTAAAGTGATAAAAAATATCTGTCAGATTGATAAAGATCCATTCTGAAACTCTCTTCGTTTACGTTTGGATACGAAACTGTGTACAGATATGAAAAATATCGAGTGATCAATGACAGGAGATATTTCGCTTGGAAAGCATGACATTGGTCTAGCCTGCCAGTCTGTTTCTTCGTGGCCAAGTGATAAGGCGCATCGGGCTGAACGGTAACTGTCTTTACCATGAGGGACGCAGGTTCGTTTCCTGCTGAAAAGAGCAATTTTTTTCTTTAATAAGATTTCTCGAACATTTAGGCTGGTAGATAATAAATAAATAGATAAATATACTGTTTAATAAATTAAACTAATAATAACGTTTAAAGTGAATATATATATATATATATATATATATATATATATATATATTGTCAAATAAATCTACTTCTAATATATATATTGTCGTCCACAGACAGACTGTTTCGCTGTATCACAGCTCTTCAATATGGCTAGACGTCTGATTGCCACAAGCCGGGATCGAAACACGATTTGGCATCAATCAGAGATAATACCCCCAAGGTATCACCGCACGGTAGACAAAAAAAAGAAATTTTTACATGGCCCGATATATATATATATATATATATTGTATTAATTATGTCTTCTTCACAGTATCTAAACCTTATATTTGCAACAGGATGTCGTCTGTGGTGGACGTGTCTAATGTGTCAATATTAACTAGGAATGAATGAATAACCCACCTAACCCTAGCTTCTCACTTTATTTTTCATTCTAATATTTTAGCTTTAATCCGTCTTTTGATTGGTTAATAAAGACATGCCCACAAATGTGTTTTTTAATTTGGGATTTTTCGTTCTCTCCCCACCCGCACCGCTCTTTTTTATCTCTCAACTGAGCTACCGAATTGTTTTCTGATTTCCCAAGTGAATCATTTTTATTATAAATTATCTAACATCGCCTGATGAGGGACAATTTTAAAGTTCTGAAACATGGAAATTTTTGTGTAGCGATGTCAAATATTATAATAAAAATATTATAATACTATTTTGCTCTACACTTTTTATATATATATTATTTTTGATATATATATATATATATATATATATATAAAAATAATATATATATATATATAAAATATATATAAAAATATATATATATATATATAAAATAATATATATATATATAAAATAATATATATATATATATATATATATATATATATATATATATATATATATATATATATAATAAATCTTCAAATGATTTATCACTTGACCGACTCTCTAATTTATTGGACTTCTGACTCTGATGAACGGTGTTATGCGAAATTCTGGTGTCGGTCAAATGATAAGTCATTTCAACACTTATTAATGTTTTCTTTATTGTCGGTTTATTTATCTATTGAGCATTTTCTTTAAATAAATTCTACTCTCCTTAAAATCCTACACGCGTTAAAATTCTAGTCATTCGTACGTATTTGATCGTTGTTTTTTTTATTTATATTATTATTGCTATGTGTTTTTGCAAGTGTATGTCGGCGTGCACGTGTGTGTATATGTGTGCGTATATATATATATATATATATATATATATATGTATATATATATATATATATATATATATATATATATATATATATATATATATATATAGCTTTATATATATATATATATATATGCATCGTTTTCTGTTTTCAATAAGAGGAATCCGAATTGATTCCTATATGTGACCTGATAGTCCAGAAAACTTAGCCAGGGCTCCATATTGATTTTTAATCATTCAATCTCTTCGTCGCATACAGCCGGTATTACTTAAACCATAAACATACACTTACATGTAAAAACACTTACTTAGTTAAGAAGTTACGATTTTAAAAGAGGACGAAATCATTATCGATATGTCTACGGCCAAACTGAGAATTTTCTACCTGTACATATCCTCCAATCGGGCGCAAGCTTGTGTTTGACTGCACTAAAGGACATAAAGAAGCCAATTGGAATTGAAACTTCAAACCCATTCTCTATTGCGTCACCTGCACATTGAAGCTTACAACACCTGGTATTACCAAGTGGCTACCCATCGAGGTACTGAACAGGCTTGAAGTTGTCTACCTTCAGTGATCGTACGGGAACCGGTGATTCAATGTCATGTGGGAAAAAGGAAACTACCGTATTTTCCGGCTTACAAGACGCTGCGGCTTGGAAGACGCACCCTAATACTGGAAAGAGAATTCTAAGAAAAAAAATGTCATTCTAATACAACAACACATTCACCAGGCATCCCTCACATATTGGCGTCACGTATTGTTTACATTAACCACTCGTCCGATTTTGTTTGTATGTCAATGACATACTAGTCAAGAGCAGAAAGGCTCCCGCCGCTGCTAGTAAACAGAACATGTTTAAGCTTGTGGCTCGGCTCCAGGAAGGTTTATAGTCTTGGAAATACTTGTAACCACTAAGTACTGAGGTTACATCATATAAAAGGCTGAATTAAATAGATAGCTAACATTATAGTGTAATGACTCATCATACAAATCCACGTCTCTATCAGTCAAGCCAATTAGGTAACTGTCCAAGTTTACCTGAGCCTAGGTGTTGCTTTACATTCATCTTAGAAGACGCACTCATATTTTTCAGGGTATTTTTAGGAAAAGTGCGTCTTGTAAGCTGGAAAATACGGTATTAGGATAGAAGTAACGGATCCTGAAAGGACATGGTATTTAAAAAAATATTGTCCCAATCGTTTGACGATATACCTGGTGAAAAAAATGGGTGTTAGTGGAAACGAAAAGTGGCAAAATGTCCTTTTTTAAAATAATTGTTTTATTTCCAGTTAATTCCTCGCTATAGATATGTGATGATCACCATCCCTTTCAAATTATTTGGCTGTTGGTTCGCCCATCTTTCTAACTTGGACAAGATGTAAGAATCTCCGTTTCATTTCATTGTTCCTGTTTTATGTCTCTCTGTCCAGAGGACCATGTTTATCTCTATTTATGTCTGGGACACAATGGCTTCGTTACAACCTCCTGCCAGGTATTTTCGAATGACGTCTGGGTCATTTCAATGTCAGACACTTCAACGCCTTACTAGACAGGACATTACATCATTGATTCTGATAGTTTTTTTTTCTAATTCTAATCAATGCTTGTTGTTTTCTGTAGTATAAAACAAATTACATTTAATTATTTAAAGTTCATATTTAAATTAGTCTGATCCGCTTGATGTCACTTTGACGACTAAAATTAATTTTATATTCCCTTAATTAAAAATACTTTATTACCAAAGTGGGAAGACAACAAACTGCAAGAGGAATGTAAGTAAGTCCTGTGTTAAATTATGTTAATGAAGTCTTCGGCGTAGTGTTTATTGTCTGACTATTAAGTCGGTATATGAAATAAATGATTGTAATGATTAACCGATATTCAAAATGTCATTTTGTCTAGAAAATTATCTCTATTGCTTGCTGCCTCTTTCTTATTCTTCCTGAATGACGAGTTCATCACAAAAAAAAGAGAGAAGTCGAATAATGGCTTTGACCAATCTAACAAGAGACACACCTCATAGAGTTTTCTTTCCATATTCATCATGGCGTTCTTTTCTGAAAGTAACTTCGACCATGGATATATATTTATCCTCATTGGTCGTGGCATATTTCTAAAGAATACTAATATAGGGTAATGTAATGAAAAATCGGAAAAAAACGTCCCATATTACACGTTTTGTTCTTCGAAGAGGCTTTTTCATAATAGCCTTTTATCGATGGAATCATATGTATGTAGGGAGAGGGAACGAAATACAATAAATATCGGTTAGAAATTTAAATCGAGAAAAAAATGACGTTACAGGGACGCTTAACTTTAAATTTAGAATTTTTGGCGTCCGTTCTATCTACATGATAGTCAGTAATACGGTACATCTCTCTTGCCTGTATTATTGACTATCGTGATGATATATCGTGATGATGATGATATATCCTCTCAAATGGTTATATATTATTGGAACTAATAAAGACTTCGAAAAAAAATGTCTAGAGAACCAACTATTTTTATTAGTATTATTATTTGATTATTATTAATATTATTATCAAGAATATTTTTTATTATTATCAAGGATATTTTTATTTAATTTCTCGAAAAGATATTTCTGATTAAGGTTACTACTAAGAAGGACACAAAGACCTTTAATGTGTCTAAATACAGGGTACCCAATAAAACAGCGGAAAATTTATCATCACGATTTTATCTTTCAACTGGCCTTGAATAATCTTGTAAAAATTTGTTGGATATTTATCACCTTGAATAATCATTCGACTCCCGCGTAATTACTTAATTCTGATTGGTTCTTTTATGATTAACTGCTGCTCGATCTCATGGCTCGTCATTTAAAGTTTATTTGCAGACAACTTTCATTATGCCCTTCTCATACTGCTGTAAATGCTGCTTGGGTTTGTGCGTTGAGATTATCAAATGTAATTGCGCGTTCTAAGAGCATCTATCTATTATACATTTAATAATTCAAGGAAAAAACAAAGTAATGCAATTGTGCATCAACAATAAAATATATATTGAAACAATAACATACAAAACAATCATGCAACGGTGTGCAGAAATTAAGGGAGAAAAAGTTGCTTGCCTTCAACTGTATTCTGATTAACATTGAATGTTCAAAAGAATTTCTCTTGAATAAGAATGTTCAGGATTCTATGTTGAATAGAGTCTGGTGTTAGAATAGAATACAATTAATTAAGAAGTTGTTTTGAGAAAGTAAGAGAGTTCTGGTTCATGAACTTGGATTTCACAGAGAGGAAGAATATGTTACAATGTGATACAAAAATCTGTGTCTGTGTGTTCGTTGTGAGTAAAGTCGTGGATTTGTGTAGAGAGGCGTAAATGGCTGGATTCTACTGACGGTTGTGGAAAATATTGCTTCTTTTAAGACTGCCGGTAGGCTCCAAGTGAAAAATCGGGAAAGTTGATTTAGCACAAAAATGTTTGATTGGTTAAAATTCAACCAATCACTGATTTTGTAACAAAGAAACATGTGAGCAAGTTCATGGCAGAACAAATTCAAAGTGGTGACTGCGATTGCTAAATTGTCTTATGGAAGGGCAGTATTGATTTACTAGCCAATCGCAGACGAATAAATTGTAGGCGTGGAAAGCGTAGCAGTCGCTACACTGCTAAACAATTCACTGATTTTGAGCGTCAAGTTTTCAGAGAAGAATGTCCGACTTAGGGATTGACGAAATGGGCAGAAATTCTTCCTTAATTTTTGTAGTCATATTAGTCGTCATTAGTATTCAACAGTTGTCTCACGTTCTTCTGAATTTACCGATTTTTATTGGGCGTCCTGTAGTACGAAATAACAACATCTTTTTCGATTTAATGGTAGGCAAAAATTTGCTTTGTGAAGATATTTCAAGCCCTCATTAATCCGCAGGTTATATTAGGTCAAGTGAATTCAATTAGTTCTTTAATTCCTTTCTAATTTTATAATTCTCAGTATTCGCCTGTGTTTTTTTAAAAAAGATCTTTTCTTTTATTACGAGGCCAGAACTAATAAGAATTCCTTTTTCTCTATAATTCTATTTTTTCTTCATTCTCTTTTGAAATGTATGATGATATGAAGCATCAATTCTTTTCTCATCGTTTTTTATTCTTCAATATTTCATAGCAGTTTTCTTTCCTTTTCTCTTATTCATTTCATTACTATTTATGATTACAAATTACTTACACGATAGGGAGATGTTATATTTTCTTTACTTTCCTAAGTAATTCAAACAGAAGTACGTTCTGGATGAGACGATAAACTACATCCAACAGCAAGGCCACTGATCAGGAAGATTTCAGGAGCGTGAAACCACTTCAAAATTGCTGGCTTTCCCAGATCCACGCTTATCTCGGGTGGTAGCACCTGTTAGGGTCCCAGCTATGAGAAAATAATTAACCCAAACATGTCCTGGGTCAGACGATAAACTACATTCGACAGCAAGGCCATTGATCAGGAAGTTTTGAGGAGCTTGGAACCACCTCTTAATTCCTGGTGTTACCAGATCCACTCTGACCGGGGGTGGTAGCAACTGTTAGGGTCACAACTATGGGCAAATAGTTAACCTCCAAACTGGAGTCAAATGACTATGAATGTGTAAAAATAGGTTTTAATACCAGCAATACATTTTTGGGAAAATATTACCAGCAATGAATTTTTGAAGAAAATAATTATTACCATCAATGCATCTTTTTGGAAAAATATTACCCTTAAAAAAATGTTTGGAAAAAAATATTACCAGCAATAAAAATCTTGTCGGCGTTATATAACCCATTGAGGTTGATTTGCCCCTAAAAAACCCCAAATGAAACCAAACAGAGGTGTTCCTCTTTTCGTTTTATCCAAAAGAGATTTAGTGATATAAAATGCCTATTCTCTATGATAGGCTCCCAAATTATGTTTTGTTTCGTCATCAAACTCTAATCTAAGAGGGTTAGGAGCCTATTCTTGCCTAATATACCATATAACATCCACTTTTTATTAAGTAATTCAAACAAAGAATTCGATTCTAAACCCAGTTTAGAATATACAGGGTGTCCATAAAGTTTGTGTGCACTTAAAAAAAATTATAACTTTATTTGTATTTGCGATAGAAATAATCTGTAAAAAATGTTATAAAGTTTAATGTACCTACTTTTAAGTATAGCTAAAATAACGAATGTGATTTCAGGCATTACTGTAAATCAGTTGACAAATGTTTTCCATGAACTTTAAAATCGTATTACCCTTTGTGTTGCTAATGATGGAGGAGATGTGGAAATATAAATAAAATCTTAATAAAACCTAAAAAAATATATATTTACTTCTTTCTAATCCTTTTTACAAATTATTTCTATCGCAAATACAAATGAAGTTATAATTTTTTAAGTGTACACTAACTTTATGGACACTCTGTATATTATCAATAATCAATATATCATCCATAACTTTAATATCTTGATATCAACTTAGATATACGCCGAAAGAAAAATTTTCAAGATCAACTATATTTTTTTATTAATAATTATGTCATAACTTCGTCAAAGAGGAATTAAAATTGTTTTCCATGTTTACTGCAGTTTCTCAAATGGATAATGGGGTTGAGGTACGCCTTTTCACAGCTGTTGAGGGTTTGGCAGTAGGCAAGGATTCCGCCATTGCTTATTTGTCTCCGTTTTTTCTGATTTTGTTTTGTGGTTTGATACACAAGTATTTGGGACTTGGTTGATATATTTCGCACCTCCACGTCGCCCAGTCAGTTGTTTCTGTTTTTCATCGATAATGATTGAATCTACAAGAGATGAGTGTCCCTTTCAAGCATTCTTTGTAACTCGACAGTAGGGTTTAACTTCAGAAGTAACACCTTCACTTGGAAGTGTCTTTTCTATTCTTTCAAAGGTGATCTGCAGAACTTTTTATAGCATAGCTTGAACACTTAGGGTTCTTCATATCAGGGATATAATCGCGCCAATGCATGAAAAGCACTCGAGTAGACGCAGGTCTATGACCCAGAATTCGGTATCCTATAAAAAGTGAACAGCAGGATGACTTTGTAAATTCTTGGAAATATAGTGAAGTTGTTTCTCATTGCCTTCTTAATGGTTCTGAATTCATAGCAGTCCTTCTCTAAACTGGCACCCACTCAAGGCTAGAGATTTCACTCTACTCATATCGTTAGCATACCTAAGGACGATAATAGGTATGTCTCCCCATTCACATAAATACAGTAGTAAATACTGTATGTTGGTCGGCAGTTGGAGATTCGTCTCCAGCTGTGCCAGTCAAACTCTTTGCTTCCGGGCAGAGAGGATCCCCCAGACGAAGTTATGTCGAAAGACAAAGCCTCGTCTCGGGAAACAGCTACCCGACACCCGATTTATACGGGATTTACAGGGAATTTTTGGCCGAGTCTACGGGTTCGGCTACCGCACATTAAATTCGGCTTTCTGCCACATCTGATCGCGTGGGGCGATTGTTAGATATCCTGCAGGTGCAGATTCGTCTCCAGTTATGCTGGTCAAACTCTCTGATTCCAGGCAGAGTGGATCCCCAGACGAAGCTATGTCGAAGGGCAGAGTCTCGTCTCGAGAAACAGCTACCTGACCCCGTTTTATACGGAGTCTACGGGAATTTTTGGCCGAGCCTACGGGCTCGGATACTCTACATTAAATTCGGTCTTGTGTCACATCTGACCACGTGGGAGCGGTTGGTAGATATCCTGCTGTTGGAGATTCATTGTGAAATTCACTTGACTCACTTCTAGCAGTTGACTACTTCTACGCGCCGCTGGCGAATCATATATGCGTTGTTCGTGATCTAAGTATTATCGTTCATTACCAACCATCGTCTGATTATTTTATTCAGTAACCTTCCCTAGGTTACAACACTTATTTAATTTATACCAAGAGAGGCAGGAAATTAGTGCATGTATTTTTCCAAAAGTAAGGAGAAGTGAGAAAGTGAATGCAACAGACTAAGCAGGAATTGGAACTCTGCTCGCTGATTACACATTCCACTCCCCACACTACTTTTGTCTTTTTAGCTCATGTAAAACCTGGAATATCTATAATTGTTTTAGCTTTGTCAGATAGACGAACACTAACCCAATCAGCTTCACCTTCAAGGGGTGGCAATAAAATTTGAGTCGAATTCTTTAATTACGAAATGTAAAACTGTTTTTATTTTTATTTTACTTTTAACCGTCTGAAATAAAACTAACAACATTCTTTTTTTCTGACAATAGGATGCGCTGAACATTTCTATCCATTAGAATTTGTCCAATGGCACATTTGTATCAATTATCAGGAATTAAATCCAAAGTAATATAAACAGTCGAAAAAAGAGCATAGAATTTTGGTCATGAAAAGATTTCTTTTGATTTTGGCCTCGATTCTAACCTGGAAGGCATGAAAATGAAACGATGGTGGGCAGTAAAAGAGGAGACAAATGTAGTTTATCAAATAAAAAGAAAGAAAATCCGGGGAATCTTTTTTCTTGCACATTTCTTCTGGCTTCATTCTCACTCGTTGGAGATAATTTGTGTAGGGGATGTTTTACGTCTGAAGAAACAGAGAGGAAAAAACATAAACAAGAAAGAAAAGTTGGGACGGAGGAAGTTTGATGAAACATTTGAATCTGAGAAAACTTTGTTATCGATCTGAAAATGTTACAAGGTGATACTCCCAATCTACAACATAGAACTATTTTTCATTATTGAAAACATTACAAACCTGGACGTTAATCAACAACGAAACTTTAAGTTGAAAAAAGATATCACACAATTTTCAAATAATTTAACCCTCGTTTTTTAATTTAAATTTGAATTATAAGTGTTTACTAAACCGGGATTTGTCTGGGCAAAATGTCATTAGTAAAGGCGCGGCGAATGACGATTGAATTCACTACATAATGTGCTGAAATACAATATAATATAAATCCTCCTTTATGGCAGTCAATGTTCAACACTTTCTTCACAGATGACAAGGAGGCAAGAGATAACAGGCAACAGACATATCAATCTACAGAAGGATGTTGAGAATACAATGGAAGGGACATATGAGAAATGAGGAATTTTGGGGGAAGATGGGAACAGAAGGGTCGCTTATGCATAGGATCAAAAAGAGACAACTGAAATGTCTAGAGCACAAAATAGAAGAGGGCTTCGAGAATGTGACATGAACAATGAAACGAAAACAATCCATTCCATAAAGGGTTAAGTTCGGAATTCCCAGTAGGTTACCCGGATTGATAGGTACCTGAAGAAGGCCTAAGGAGACAATGGTCGAAACATTGTAATAATAATAATAACAAAGATCACGACAAGAAGCTGTGAAAAGCTATGATCGGTCACAAAAAATTAATTTCTTATTGGTTCTTAAGATATGTGTTCATCTGCGTGTATAAAAATATGGCAAAATCTTTTCTTTAAGAGTTTGTTAAATATGACAGCAAAGATGTCACGAGGTCATTGAGATAATGGTCAATACGAAAAATTGAATAAATACGATAACGAAAAAAAATACCGGAAAAATTTGGTGTGTTTTGAATATATGTTTCTATCTACCTGATACACGTAATCAATTTCCCCTATCGGGTTGTCTGATTGGACTTACGCCAAGCATCTGCATCTTGAGTAAGGGTTAGTTTTCTGTCGGAGTTATACTTGTCTTAGCCGACCACATATCCCCACGGTGACGGATTTCATCTGACCGGGTTTGGAAACCAGCGTTATCATTCTCTTAGACTAGTTGCCAACCAAGGCTGAAGAGTCCAGCCTTCCTTACTATTTAACCCATTGTTTGGTGACAAAGAGATTGATACATTTTAAAAGAGCATTTTAAAGACCATACTGGAATTCGAAATTCGCGAGTAGATTTTTCATTCACAACCGATTCGCATATATATATATATATATATATATATATATATATATATATATATGAAAAAATATAGTTTTAAGGCATACTATATTTATGGCGTAAAATTGCTCAATATCATATATAAAGCATATGTAAATATAAGCCGTGTCGAGTTACTCTCTAACCCACATGGCTTGAAGATTCACACATGAAAAATACTTATCACACACATACACTATATATATATATATATATATATATATATATATATATATATATATATATATATATATATATATATATATATATTCCCTGTAGGTTACCGGATCGGATATATTATGAGAAATTATGAAAGTTCACGATAGTTATCGAAGGTTAGCTGAATTGCACGATTCCTCGCTCTACAAAACACAGACAAGAATGGTTGTATTGATTATTAAAGAATTCTTGTTTCGTTCCACAAGAGCGAAGAATCGTTAAACGCTGATTTGAATTCCGATACGGAATGTGGACTTTCATTATATTTAATACAATCATTATTGCTTCTAGATAACTATTGGGCACTTTATTGACAGAAATTATGTTCGCTTTGATATACGATGAGTTATATAAATTTATTATTATTATTATTATTATTATTATTATTATTATTTCTTTCGTAAACACACTTATACTCACTCTAGAGATGTAATACCCAGTATCGGCGCTCTTTTTTATTGTGATGCTAAACTTAACGTCAGATTACTTTTGGAATATTTTAAAATTGACCATAGACACATTAAACTTTATGTCACGTTTTATCAGCCAGAAACGAGTATAATTTCATCTGTGTGTAATTATCAATGATTGACGTGAATATGTCTGTATGAAGGTAACACTGATATAAGCCGTTTCCTTATAAGGAAACATTCGACATTCATTGACCAAGCAGTCAGTTCTACTTTCAGTTGATATTTATATAATCTTTCTATTAAAACAATTTTTTTAGCAAATTAGTTTTCTTAAATCCTCTAAATATTAAAACTTTCAAGTATTGATTGGGTTTATTTTCTAGCTTTTTGTTTGAAATTATTGATTTGGTTTTTATCGTCACCTCGAGTTACATGTTACATGTGAAATAAAGAGTTAAATCGAAAACATTCGAACAATTCTCAATTATCTGGACAAAACCATTTCTAATGTTTTATCCGAAGCAAGCATTTTCTAAATGGAGAAAATTATACAAAAACGCTGATGAAACCAGTTCAATTAACTATTGTTAATTTTATCCTTTTTATTTAGTTTTTTTTTTTCATACAAATATAGTTTTGAATTATCACTGGGACGGAAAATGTTGAAAAGGAGGAAGGCAATGTGTTTGCCCATGTTGAAGTTTAACAGCCACAATATACACCAAAGCAATAATTAGGCTTACTTTGCTCTTCGAACCAGAGGCTACACTTACAAAAGACGTCCATTGTGAACCTAGTTTCGGGAGTTAAACGATATAAAAGGTCAGGCGGGAACAGGCAAAAACTGAAGGATTTTTCTCATAAAAAATAAAACTGGACAAAGCGTTTGAAAATGTCACTGATATAAATATTAACATTTCTTTCAGAAAAAGACTTTTTTCTTCATTTTTTTTTCGATAATTTAGGTAATCAGTTATCCGGAATTTTGAATTATCTGAACAATTAAATCAATTATCCGGAATTTTTAGATTATCCGAATAAATTAATCAATTATCCGGAATTTTGAATTATCCGAATTAATCAATTATCCGGAATTTTGAATTATCCGAATAAATTAATCAATTATCCGGAATTTTGGAATATCCAAACAAATTAATCAATTATCCAGAATTTTGAATTATCCGAACAAATTAATCAATTATCCGGAATTTTGAAATATCCGAACATATTTTTCCAAAATATCCCAAGATGTCCGTATAATCGAAAAAGTCCCGTATATACTTTTCCTCATACCCCCCATGAAAAATTACACGTTGCTTCCATCATTTTTTAAGTGGCACTGGACACCCATGCTCTTAGACAAGGCCAACATGTACTACCCTCGAATACCCCGAGTCTGGTTGGGGGTGGGGGCTGAGTGGATCCATATTTATAATATTATATGTATATTTATAACATTTGATTTTTTTCTATCTACATATATATACGTTACAAATTAAACTAAGCGAAAATGACGATTAAAAAATGAAAAATTTTCGCAGATTTTGACATCATTCTGGCGTCTTTATTTTTTTTTTGTTTCGTCCAAATCTTTGAATTTGTTTTGTGAAGCTAAGTCTCGAAAAACCACGAGATATAAAATTCACTATTTTTATGCATAATGTGTTAAACTTATTGCGCATAATTAGGTTACAATAAAATTTGTATTTTATATGATTATTACCTTACGAAAATTGGGATGTATTGGTGTGTGTGTGGGGGGGGTTTCAGATCATAGATTCAGGGGGAGACCCTTGCACCGATCCTGCACTCAGACATAAAATATATTCATATATACTAAAGGTAATAAATAAATGATTTTGGCATGAAATGCTTAACTCTTTTTAATGAGAAACTGCAGAATTTCTTCTGCAAATTACGGTAGTCTATCTTACAGAAATCTTTCAGTAGTTTTGCTGAAAGTTCAAAGTTCTGGTTAAATGATCATATTAAATATAGAGGATGAGAGACACTATAGGAAAATAATTAAAATCCTTTTGATATTTTCTCAACTTCATAATCGACATCTGCCTGATACAGAAAAAGCAGATTAAACAACAGCTGTTGAGTTTTGATATTGTTGCCAGACATTCTGTCTCATCCAATCAAGACGACCGAAGGCAACTGGATGGCCGACTAATTTGTTAAAAACTGGAACAAATAGTCGTGGGGATTTTTAGGTGTTAGCGCTTGAATACGTGATTTCGGTTTTTCGTTTCATACGGGCCGGTGTACGTGTTGGGAGATAAATACGTATGTCTCCTAAAATGCCCACAACTAACATGGCAGACTTGGAGTATGAGTCCACGTATAAAAAAGAATAAGAAATAATAAGGATCAATATATATGTGTACAAACAAATGATAGTATATTAACAATAAAAGGTTACATATATAATAGAATATTGTTGTATTAGTGAACAATGAACATGGATGAAGAAAACAGTTAAGCTAGTAAATTGTTTGCGTATGTGTAGTTTGGTGTAGGAGAAAGTCCTAGAACAAAATGAAGTGAAAGGTACGTACGTACGTGTATGTGTGTGTATTGTTCATGTATGTTCCAAAAAGGGAACGCCTTCTTCCGCGAGAAATTTACATGTTGACGTGAAAAGTAAAAAGAGGCTGCGAATAATTATCGCGGAGTACTTATAGTACTGGAAAACGTCCCTTAGTAGTAGTTACGAAATTTAGGAGGAGTTAACCCGACACGTGACTGAGATTTATGTTTGTTTTGTTTTACGGCATATCAGTCTCAATGGGTTATTTAATGCCAACAAGATTTTCATTGCTGGTATTTTTTCCAAAAATGTATTGCTGGTATTAAAACATAGTTTAACTATTTGCCCATAGCTGGGACTCTAACAGATGCTACCACCCCGGATCAGGGAACATGAACGATTAAGAGGTAGTTCCATGCTCCTTAAAACCTCCTGATCAGAGGCCTTGATACCAGATCTAGTTTAAGGTCATACCCAGGACGCCCAAAATTTATAACTAACACACACACACACACACACTGTTTCGCAGCTCATCAGTGTGGCTAGACATCTAGCTAGGATCGA